GGGAGTCAGAAATGGTTCCAGACCAATGAAATATCACTCACCTATGCAAGTAGGTCTCGGGAGCTTCTCACTGACATGAAGGTGCAATCCTGCCAGCTCTTCCCCAAATTCTGTGGAATTAGTCAGGTCAGCTCTGGAATTGGATACGCCTGCTATGGAATGAGAAGATGTGGGCCTGTCTTTCAAAGAAGTACCCAAAACATAAGGGAAAATACAAAGGCTCTGGAGACCACTTAGGAAAACTCATCTTAAAACAGTGTGTGCAGCTTATATATGTCTTAGTCACAAGATGACCAGGATACAAGATAAAGGCCACAAAAACAAGATTCTGGGCAGGTCACCAGAAGGGCCTGCAGGTCACCAGAAGGGCCTGCAGGCTGGTGTAAGGATCCTGTGCCTGGCTTAGGCGAGTGGTTCAGTAGAAAAGAGCATGAACTCGGAGCCAGTCATAATGGAGTTTCATCATAACTCAGCACTTAATGAGATATATAATAGTGAGCACTTGATCTGATGCTCAATTTCATCATCTTTAAAAAGGGAACACTATCACCTACTTCACAGATTAAAGAATTATATATGCCTAGAATGCACCCACAACACTTCTGCATACAAAATACTTTCAATATGAAGAAGCCCTTACTATAAGTAACTCTGCTATCTCCAACTTGCCCAATTTCCCAACTGTGTCTGTAAGATTTCCTTTACCTAGGGACTTAAAATTGAGCACATATGCCTAACAGTGTGCCAGTCTTTCCATCAGGCTACCCCGTGCCCTCACCTCCTGAGACCATTTTCCCATAGGTCTCCAACATGAGATCCCAGTACTGCTCCTTTTGAGTAGAATCCAGGTGTCGCCACTGCTCCTAGAAAAAATACAATACCATGATTACAGTGAAGGATTCTAAACCTGCCTTCCCTGACAAAAGGAAAGCCGAGAAGAAAGAAATGTGCTGTGGAATCCTGGCCGTCAGAAACCTGAACAATCCCAAAAGAGGGGCCAGAGGAAAACACGACAGCTTCTACATCAGTATTTCTGGCCCTGATTAAAAAATACTTAGGCTTTAAGTTCTGCTTTTTGGTTTTTTAAATTTTTTTAGCTGCATATATTTAAGAGTGGAGAACATAGAAAAGGCAAGAGTCTTTCTATGTTGCTTTTTTTTTTAAACTTTCTCAAGTGCTTTTAGTAAGGGTCTTTGAACACTAAGAGCCTAATATTCTCACTATTTAATTAAAATCTGGAAATTCAAGAGGAGAAAAAAAGAAACTTAAAGAGAATCTGAGAAAACAAGTGCAAATTAGTGAAAAGCTCAAAAGACTCAATTAAGAAGTCAAGTGCACTGGAAGCCTTGCCCTCGGACTGGTGCATTCAGAGAAGAGAAAGACACAGCTATATACACTTGAAATCTCCCACTTGTTCTGCATTTAGGGTCTAACATTAAATCCGTACTCTTTCCAGTTAGTGGGAAACTGACAGGTTCTCTGGATCAAGGTGTCCCTTCATTATCCCCAAAGGAGCTCTTCTTTTCCTGTAGAACTAGAGATTGGAGATTCAAAACTAGGCATACCATATAGCTAGGGTCCACTTTCATGAATTCAAATTTCTTTTTTTTTTTTTTTGACACAGAGCCTCAAGCTGTCGCCCTGGGTAGAGTGCTGTGGCATCACAGCTCACAGCAACCTCCAACTCCTGGGCTCAAGCGAGTCTTCTGCCTCAGCCTCCCAAGTAGCTGGGACCACAGGCACCCGCCACAATGCCCAGCTATTTTTTTTGGTTGCAGCCGTCATTGTTTTTGGCGGGCCCGGGCTGGATTCAAACCTGCCACCTTAGGTGTATGTGGCTGGCGCCTTAGCTACTTGAGCCACAGGCACTGAGCCATGAATTCAAATTTCAATCTCCCCACCAAAAGGCCAACCAGTAGAAACTCAGATTGTATAGCAATGATTAGCAGTCCATTCTTTGGAGTAAATATACTATGTATCAAGTTCTAACCTTGTCACTTTCTAGCATGTGACCTTGAGCAAGTTACATGCTCAAGGCCTCACCCAATGATAACACTAAATTCAAAGAATTGTTCATCAATTTTTTTAAGTGATAAAAGTTGAAGAACATTCTCCTTAGTAAAGTATCTCAAGAATAGGAAAAACAAGCATCCCATGTACTCAATACTAAATTGAAACTGGTAAGTGAACAACTACAGGCATGCCTAAGAGGAAAAAACAATTAAATTCAAGAAGGGGGTGGGGGAGAAGGCTCGGTAAGTTCCCATCTAACAAATACAATGGAGGGGCATATGGCCTACCTCTTGAGTGAAAGACTAAAAACTAACTAGGACTTTTCCCAACAAATGAAAAAAATGTAACCTAACTGTATGCATCTTTATATTAATCTGAGGTTTAAAAAATAAAATAGTAAGAAATTCTAAAACTGTTGGGATATTTGAGAGAGGTAATATGGAGTCACCTGTTTCCATAACCCACTGTACCTGTCCTTCATAGCATTCATCATGGTTTATTAAATGTTTATGTGTACAAGCAAACACAAGTATTTGACTAATTGTTGCCTCTACTAGCAACTAAAGACAAGAACTCTATCATACTCTCCACTGTACTTTCAACTAGTCCCTAAGACCCTGCCCAGGGCAAGTAGGCACTCAATATATGTTACCAGGCTAAAATAAAGCCTTTAGCAAATATGCCCTCAGTAGACAGTAAATATTATTGCTCTCATATGCAGTCTCTCAGACTCATCCCAAGGGTTTGCCAAGAGAATTAAGGGATTCTGCAATCTTTTCAGGAACCCCAAAGTTGATAGCTATGCATTATGTCATGTGTAGCCAGGCTTTAGAGAGAAGAAATGAGGAGAGGAATAATGAAATCATCTTCCTATTATATACAATATACTACTTTTCAGGGAAAGCAAGAGGGTTGGATTTTTTTAGAGTGGAAAGGATAGGAAACTGAAAAGTGAGTTCAATACACTTAACTACACATTCAACTATTAACTGTAACCACATTTTTAATATGAATTTCAACTAAAAAATTTTAATTTTTAAAGTATAAACTGCTATAGTAGCTTATTTTGTTAATCGTCTGCAAATGAGTCTATTTTAACAACCTCCTGAAAATAACCAGCTTGGAACAAACAGTGCTGAACACAGGAGTTCTCAGTCTTTGTGGTCAAGACTTGCTTCAGTGTTAGCAGAGAAAAGGATGCAAATGCCAAGTACAGTAATATCTGACTGTCTGGACTGGCTGGTTTGCTGAATATAGGGCCTATTCCATGGGCACAAAAATAGTAGCTACCAAGATCAGTACAAAGCAAAATACGGATACAGCCACCCAGATCTCCAAGGGTCATAATCTGCTCATTCAAAAGCCAGAAAAGTTGTTTCAGGGACCTCTGAACAAGGTATTTCAACTTTAAAACCACAAATTTACTCAAAGAACTGCCAAGAAGCTGGGGATGCTTGAATAAAATGACCTACTTAAGAGGCAAAACACCGTCAGTCATCTTGTCTCTTTCTGGTATTTGTAAGAGAAAAAAAAACCTTTGTATTCTTGAAGGACAAAAGCATGGGATTTGATGAAGAAATTGCCTCTATCTTTGTATGAAACCAGCACCATCTTGTGGGTTTAGGAGATATTACCACAACTGACTCGCACTTGAACTGTGTTCCTTTTCTTGAAGTTTGAAAACACAAGAATGTGAGTAAATGCATTCCTGGAGTCTACATGAGGTTCCAACTCAGACATAGTTTCTAATGAGAAAACAATTACTTATGTTAAAAAATTTCCTTTCGGCCTGGCGCCTGTGGCTCAAGTGGCTAAGGTGCCAGCCACATACACCTAAGGTGTCGGGTTCAAATCCAGCCCGGCCTGCCAAACAACAATGACGGCTGCAACCAAAAAAATAGCCGCGCGTTGTGGCGGGCGCCTGTGGTC